AGCACCACATGCCAGCCAGCCCTGCCCCCTGGTGGGCTGAGCTGGACACACACACACACACACACACACACACACACACACACATAAATAAAAAAATTTAAAAACCTAACAAATTAAAAAAAAAAAAACAAAAACATAAAAGTGAAATAAAATAAAAAAGATGGAGCCCAGAAGCTGGGGCAGGGCAGGCCAGGGACGCAAGACAAGCCCTCCGCACCCCACTCCCACAATGCCTCCAAGAGCCCAATACCACTTACGACAGCCCCGCTCGTCGGCGCCGTTGTTGCAGTCCTGCTGGCCATCGCATCTCCAGGAGCCAGGAATGCAGCGGTTCAAGCGTCCCCCGCAGCTGAAGTCGCCGGGCCTGCAGGTGACGGCCACTGTAGTAGCAGTGAGAGGAGGCCAGACATCAGCCGCACAGACAGCAAAGGAAAGCTGGGGGGGGCACCCCAAGGGAGCTATGAGGCACTGAGCGCCGCTGCCAAGGGCTTGGGGTCAGCTAGCTAGCAGTGGTGGCTGCTGCACACGCTGTGACAGCACCGAGGCTGTGAGCTGCTTCATTTCTGTCCCCTCCCTCCCTCGAGACATGGTCTTGCTATGAAACCCAAGCTGGCTTTAAATTTGTGGCAATCCTCCCACCTCATCCTCCCGAGTGCTCAGATAACAGGGTAAATGTCATGTTAGGTGACTGTTTTGTTGGGGTTTTTTTGCGGAACCGGGGATTGAACTCAGGTCCTTGAGCTTGCCAGGGAAGTGCTTATTCTACTGAGCCATCTCCCCGGCCTGTTAGGTGAAATTTGCCTCAATAAAAATACAGCTGTTGGACAGGCCAGCCAGATAGCTCAGCGGACTAAAGCGCCTGCTTAGGCAGACTCAGCGGCTGGGGTTTGATTCTGAGTGTGCCGTGCCGGCCAGGCCCCCCAGGGCCTGCAGAGATGGAGACGAGACTGGGCGTGGTGGCGCACAGGTCTGTAATTCCAGCCCTTGGGAGGCTGAAAACAGGAAAATCACAAGGAGTCCGACCTACCCTATACTACGTAACAACAACAACAACAATATATATATATATATATATATATATTTATATTGGGGTAAAGAGGAGACTTCAGAGGCTCGGGTACCACGTCAAGCCTGAGGGGACTCACAGCATGTTTCCTGGGACTCGTCTGAGCCGTCCTGGCACTCGGCTTTGCCGTCGCACACCCACGTGTAGGAGATACATGGCCCATCCTGGCACTGGAACTCGTTTCTCCCACACTTGGCTTCCGCTGCAGGGAAGAAAAGAAGGTTGCTCAACGCCAGAGCCAGAAATTGACCGCAGTTCTGGTGCCCACTTCCTGCCAACCCAGGAAGAAGGTGGAGAGGCACCTGGAGCCCTCACAGTCCCGTTGCTGGAAAATTAAAGCAGCGCAGCAGGTGAAATTTCATGAAGCTACAAATAAAGTAGGAGATGCAGTCAGTAAACGTCTCCAAAAAAGATGACTTGGCAGATGGGGTAGAGGTCCAGCCTGGAATCCCGGGTTTGGGAGGCTGAGGCAGGAGGATGGAATATTTGAGCCCAGCCAAGGCAACTTAGGAACTTAAAAGAGAGACCCTGGCTCAAAATAAAGGATGGTTGAAGATGTAGCTCAGGGCAAAGGCCCTGGGTTCTATTTCCAGTACGAGGAAGAAAAAAAAAAAGTAAAATATTTGGTTTATTTTTTTTTTTAAATCTGTATGAGGTCGGTACTGTGGTTCACCTTGTCATCCCAGCTACTTGGGAGGCTGAGGCAGGGGGATCATATGAGTTCTGGGCCAGGCTAGACTATACAGTGAGACCCTATCTGAACAAACTAAACAGACAGAAATCCCCAAAATCTTGTCCGCTGGGAGGCAGATTTGACACTGGCTCCGCGTGCCCACAGATGGCTATCATACTGGTAGTCTTCCCTTTCTGAAAATGGCATTTCTGTAACTCTCTACTGCAGGCAGGCAAAACGGGCCTGGTTGAATAACAGCAAAAGACACAAGGCAAGGAAAATACCATGGCTGTCAAAGGAAATGAGGTTTTTGGTTTTTTGTTTTTTTTTTTCCTTTCAAAGAATTTGACAGGAAACATGAAGAAAGAATAAAACCACAAATAGGGGCCAGGGAGATGGCTCAGTGGAATAAGCGCTTCCCTGGCTAAGCGCAAGGGCCTGAGTTCAATCCCTGGTTCCGCCAAAAAAAAGAAAAAGAATTGTAATGTAGAGACCAAGACACACACACCCAGAAGCAAGGACAATCATAACTGAAGACTCAAAATAAAATTTAAAAATGAGCTGGAGACACAGCCCAGTGGAATGCCCTGGGTTTAACCTTTTTTTTTTTTTTTTTTTTTTTCAGTACTGGGGGTTGAGCTCAGGCCCTTGTGCTTGCTAGGCAAGTGCTTATTGTACTGAGCTATCTCCCCAGCTCCCTGGGTTTAATCCCTAGATATGGCAAAAACAAAAAAGGGAAGAGAAATAGATTTGGGGGCCATCAGGTAAAGCACAGGCTCTAGGAAGCCACATGAAATCAGGACCTTGAGATGCATGAGGCTTGCGGTCAGCCTGTCCTTATGGGTTTGTTTGGTTTTCTTTGAGACAAGGTCTCACTATGTAGCCCAGGCTGGTCTTGAATTCACAGTGATCCTCCTGCCTCAGCCTCCAGAGTGCTGTGATGACAGGCATGTGCTACCATGCCTGGTCTTCTGTAGCTATTATTACACACAATGTACAATATACATTGTATATATTATACAGGTATATAAAATACAGCTAGGTCCATAGATTATTATATATAGACTTATATAGTCACCTCTGTCCACTACACATCTATATGTGGCATACCACACATCCAGATTTACTTTTTCGTGTGTGTGTGGTCTTTCTGAGACAGGGTCTTGCTCTGCAGTTCAGCCTGGCCTTGAGCTCACTTTGTAGCCCAGGCTGGTCTCGAACTCGCAACCATTCTCCTGTCTCAGCCTCCCACGTGTTGGGATTACAGGTGTGTGCCATCACACCCGGCTTTAGAGTTACTTTTATGTCTCTTGCACCTGTATAATATGGATAGCCTAAAAAATAAAATAAATAATGTAAGTTTTTTTTAAAAGGCTGGCCTGTTCGGACTAAAGCACCTGTTTAGGCAGGAACAGGGACTGGGGTTAATCCCCGGAGTGCTGTACCAGCCCTGGCCCCGGGGCATGATGAGACAGCGATTGACACGGCATGGTGGCACACACCTGTAATCCCAATGCTTGGGAGACTGAAAACAGGAGGATCACTATGAGTCCAATCTGTGTAGTGAGGCCCTTAGACCCTGTACTAAATACTTAAAAATAAATTTTTAAAAATTAAAAATATTGGGCTGGTGAGATGGCTCAGTGGTCTAAAGCACCTACTTAGAACAAGCTTAGCAAAGCACAGGGACCGCAGTTCAATCCCCCAGCACCACATGCCAGCCAGCCCCGCCCCCTGGTGGGCTGAGCTGGCCACACACACACAAAATAAATAAATGATTTTTAAAAATTAAAAATATGGATAACCACATACATAGATTTACATTTACACATATATGGCAATACAATAGATTTATAGTATGGATTTACATATGTCCATGCATGAATGGGTAACAGTATGCATATATAATGTATAGATATATACAGGCTGTGATGTGAACGTGGCTCTTTCCTTCCCAAGCTTGAACTGAAGTCTCTCAATGTACTGATGCGGGAGGGACGGGATTCTCTGCACTAGGTTAAGATTAAGAAATGCACGAAGTTCTCGCGAGAGTGGGTTAGCCACGAGACCAGAATGGTCTAAAGCAGAGGTTGCCCCGCCCCTTTCTCCCTCCCGCATGCGCAGTTTACCCTTCTGCTTCCCCGCCTCCTTCTGCCAGTGTGGACGCCACCGCGTGTGGGTGCGGAGTTGTGGCCGTCCAGCCGTCAGAACTGTGAGCAAAACGTTTCCTTCATATATATAAAATATCATATAAATTCTTTCATGTCATAAATACGCTATCGATATCAATATCTAAGTAAAGGGGCCGGGGAGATGGCTCAGTGGAATAAACGCAAGGGCCTGAGTTCAATCCCCGGTTCCGCAAAAAAAAAAAAAAAAAAAAAAAAAAAAATCATCTAAGTATAAATCTGCACTAATAGTGTAGCTCCTGGGAGTTTGGCAGTGCACGCTTCTAATCTCAGCGCCCAGGAGGGTGAGGCAGGAGGATTTTGGGAGTTGGAGTCCAGCCTGGCCTTCATAGTAAGACCTTGTCTCAAAAAATTAATCAATTAATTAAAAAAGTAGCCTCTCCCAGCTGTGGAAAGGGTGACGTCATCCTTGCGGCGCTAACGCAGGTGCACAAGTTTGTGGTCTTTACAACTCTTGTTTGTAGTTGTGCGTCTGCCCAGGAAATCACAGCAAGGGACCTTTTTGTTCTTTGCCTCAGGGTAGTTTGATTTTCTTTTCAGAGTGTTTTAGGGCTGGGGATAGTGCCGCACACCTGGAAGCCCAGCTTTGAGAGGCTGAGGCAGGAAGATCTGGAGTTCGGGGAGGCCAGCCTGGGCTACATAGTGAATTCCATGGCAGCCTGGATTATGTAGGGAGACCCTGTCTCAAAAAAAAAAAAAAAAAAAGAGAAACAAAAGCAGCTCAGCGCATGTACTGAAGGCAGAGAGCGGGGCCTTTTACCCATTTCTTCACCACCCAGAACTTCCGGTTTCACTGGGCCTGGTGTGAGGTTACAGACCGTGTTGGTCTGCTGGTTTCTCAGCCTTTTAACCAGAAGAGCTCACGGGACTGATGCAACCTTGTTTCTTCATCAGTGAAAGGGCCAAGGACAGTGGTCCCGATTGTGCCCTAGACAGTGTTGTGAGGGTAAAACGACTGGGGGGGAAAAAAAGTCCCGCCAGATGCGTGGTAGCCCCCCTGTCACCCCAGCACTCAGGAGGCCGAGGCAGGACGATCATTGCAAGTTCAAGACAGCCTGAACTGCAGTGTGCTCAAGGCCTCCCTCAGCTGCAAAGTGAGACCTGCCTCAAAAAGACCAAAAAAAAAAAAAAAAAAAAAAAATCAGCTGAACTTGGTGCCTGACTTGAGAGGGATCAGGTTTGTTGTGGCCCCAGGTGACAGAACAGGAAGTAGGAGAGAAGCAAGGGCAGTGGTCACCATCCCCCATAGTTCGTCCCTTCCGACGTGGGCTCACGCCCTGGTGACTCAGGGCATAGCTGTGGTCGTGTGAGGAGAGGAAGTGAGTCACTTTCTGGGCTATGACACACAGATCGGGAAGTAAGCAGCTGGGATGCCAGGGGTGTGCAGTTAAATTGAAAGTTCAGATAAGGGCCACTGGCCAGCAGATCCAGAGGGAGGAGCCTGCGTCACCCCATCAGGCCACCACAGCCCTGGCGACCCGCAGTCCATGGCCTGGTCTTTGCATAGGAGCCCATCTTACAGAGAGAATACACCCGGGGAGGCTGGGAATGTTAATGACACCTGAAGACCCCTCAGGGCCACCTGGGTACGGAGTGAGGTGGTGCACACTTGTGATCCAAGTCACAGGGGAGGCTGAGGCAGGAGGATACCAACTTTGAGCACAGCCTGGGCAACCTAGGGAGACCCTGTCTCATAATGAAACAGGGCTGGGGATGGCACTCAGTGTGAAAGCCCTGGGTTCAAGTCCCAGCCCCACACTCACACATACCCATGTAACCACAGGGCAGTAAGCCCTGCTCCCTGGACATTTGGTGTCCAAATGTGGGTGTAGTTTTCCCAGCCTCTTTCTGCTGGTAACCCAGGCCGGCATCCAGCTCTATCAGTGGCTGTCAGAAGGCGGGACAGTGACTGTTCCCCCCAGTGACTTCAGGGTGGCTTTAGAAGCAGGGAAGGAAAGCTTCCCAGCCTGTGTCCTCAGACCCTCACTTAAAGGAGCAGCCAGGGCCCGGGCTCGGGGAGATGGCTCAGTGGTATAAGTGCTTCCCTGGCAAGCGCAAGGGCCTGAGTTCAATCCCTGGCTCCGCAAAAAAAAAAAAAAAAAAAAAAGGGAGCAGCAGGTGGGGAGGAGCAATTCCTGCTACCTTTTTGTGTGTGTTTTGTTTGGGGACTGGGTCTCTCAGTGTAGCCCAGGCTGGCCTTG